TGTCTGTACTTTAGCTGGAAAGCATTAAATAGACATGACTGCCTTTTGCAGGAAAACCTTACCGTTGATTCCTTAGGCCCTTTTGTATGTACTGGTTAGGTTTATGCGTAAAAAAGTTTTGTGAAAGTCATTTTAACCCTATTGTAACCATGTTCAAAATTACATACTTGTTCGTGCCAGGGTTACACTGGGATAATGAGGTGCCTTTGGACATGCCAGAGGTAAAGTTGCATAGAGAGGATGTGCGGCTGTCGTGTCCTGGTGTATGCTTGATCAGTGCTTTTGCAGAGTTGTGATCTGCATTCTGTCATGGTTTCAGCACAAAAACTCGGTTTGGTTTCAGTAGCAAGCTAAAGGAAACCTTTATGACTTAAATGTACAGTGAGAACTGTGTAATTCTTGTGCAGGAATTAGCAAGTAGGTTTCAAGTGTAGAGACTGTATAGTCAAGTGGATGGAGCACTTGACAGGAGTCTGAAAATAATAAGTCTTTCTTCAGCCTAGACATTGAGTCATTGTGTGATGGCTGGCAAATTGCTTCAGCTCTTTCTGGGTCTGTTTCCCCCACAGGAAATAGAAGACTCCACTTTAGAATGAGATCTGTAAGGGCTAGTGTAATAAATAATGGTTATAATGATACAGTTCTCTGCAAAACCTTGGATAATCATCTTCAGCAGTGGCATTAGTTTGAATTTGTTTTCTTAATTGAATGGAGGTTTGACATAAGTAATTTCATGTTTCAGTTGGGCAGATTAATCCTTGATGGACTGGTGCAGAAGTTTTAGTGATTTTTTTTTTTTTTTTTTTTAAATTGTAGACAGAATTCTTATTTCAATGAGAATGAAGATTGTTATAATTTGAAGCCAATTGCCAAGAGAGGTTGCAAATTGTTAATGCAAGGTTAAACTCAATTACAGATTGGGAAACACTTGCATTTTAAGTGTCTTTTACGTCGTTACAGAAATACCAGAGTTGTGTTCCTCCTCATGTAACATTTACATTTTATTTTGAAACAGCATGTTAGCTGCTGCTGAAAATACCATGCAACTATATAGATGAAGAGGGACGGGAAATCCAATCAATGTTTTGTGCTTGCATCATATCCTGGTACCAAGTGATCGGTGGTTGCCCTCCTCACCTGTGCTTTGAGCAGATTTGGGATTCTGCAGTGAACTGATGTCCCATGTGTGTCAGTGGCTACGCCGCTGTCTTAGTCTGTGCAGCAGTCACTGCATTTCAGGCTGCAGCCCCTGAGCTAGTGGCAAGAGAAACACGCATTGATATTGATCAAATGAAAGATGGGTTGAAAACTATGATAAATGGTGCCTGTTAGCCTTTCTGGATTCTTGATTTTAGTATTTTCCACAGGTGCCCAAATACCCACATTAGCAATATATAAAGCCACAATGTTCATCTCTTCACAACTGTGCAGGGTGTAATTTAAAAAGCAGAAGGGCAGCCACTGCCTCCTGAGGAATGGACCAGCAATTAATTGGTTTGAGCACTGCTTACACAGAACAATGATCAGCTGTACTGTGTCTGCTGCAGGAGCTCATGCTATAAAGGCTCAGCAAATGCTAGTTTGTCCTAGATATGTCCTTTTTGTCGTGTGCCACGAGCTCACATAAAAAGCTTTAGAACATATCTGAATGGGGCTTTTAGAAATTCATCAGCTGGTTAGTAACCTGTAAGAAAATACCTTTTTTTAGAACATTCTTCTTTCCTCCACTATTTGACTCTTATTCTTTGTTCTTCCCCTGGATGGATCCCTGTGGCAAGAAAATCTCTTCAGTTTGAAATATTTTTTCTTTGCTGTCCTTTCCAGTTAATTTTCAATTCACTTATGTATATTCTGTGTCTCCGCTTGTTCTCCCAGGAGATGTCAGACAATAACCTCCTACGCTGTAGATAGGGGCTTTCTGAAAATGCACGTGGGGTAAATTGAGCAAGATGAGAACTAACTAATGCTAATTAATTCACAAATGTTGTATTATACAATTATATATATTGTTTAAAGAGTAGGAGCACCTCATAATACCAGAGCTACAGATTATTAATATTCCCTCTACAGTGGTCCCTAATTAGTTAGAATAGATTTGACCAATTCTACTCTTACGCAGTGCTCACATACTAGGCCTTAAAAGGTCACAGCTAGTAGGATCTACAAAGCCTCTTACAGTTTTGCTAACATGACTTCCTTAACAATTGTGTCAAACTGATAACAGTAAAAATTGAGAAACCAATACCGGATGCTGTTATTTCCTGTTGCTTTGGTCAGAGGCTTTGCACTATGAAAACTGTTCAATGCAAAGAGATCTTCATGGATTATAAAACAGGAGTATCACTAAAGACTTGTTTTACATCTTATTATGGTTCCTCAATTCTCTGGGCAAAAGTGGGTTATCTCTGACTGCTCTGCAGACTGAAGCATCTAGGGATTGCTGTAATCTGTGTTTCGCTGTCTGTGTCTCTAGAGGACTCACTGCCAGCTGGAGAGAGACAAAAGATGGGGCTCCCACCAAGATCAGACTGTTCCTCCCCTTTCCTCTTGTGTCAAGTGAGCTGACAAGCACAGGCTAGCTGAGAGTTTTCCCACAATCTGGGAATTAGCTGGCCTGATCAGGCAACTATTTGTCTCTTACTACTTATGTCTGACACAAATGTGTCATCACATAGGAGAGAAGCTGACATGTAAAATGCTCTCCCACAGGCAGTCCAGTTTTTTAAACCAGTGGTGCACAATCAGCTTAAAAGAACAGACACAGTGATACATTATTTATGACATCAGGAATCCCCTAGCATTAAATTAGGTGATTTTATAGGACTGCTAAGAACCCTTGGCTTCTTTGCCATGCAGTTGCTTTCAGTCACCTGTTGAGAATGCTTCTTAATTTCTTGGGTTGCCTTGCAGCCCACTGCTTTGATTAGGAGCACACAGCAGTCACAGCAGTTGGAACTGAAGGCATGGCTTGAAGTTACAGGACAGTGTTATGGAAAATCTCGGTTATTTCAGCATGATCTGGGAAAGCATTCATGAAGGTGCTGAGGTATTAACATCCTTGCACTAAGCCATTTGAAAAACGGGATTTGTAAAAAAGGTGCTGACAGTGTACCTCCAGGATATGAAAACAGTTTAGTGGAATAATGCCCTGTAAGCTGCTCTAACTCTTTAACCTATTATTCTACCAGGCACCATGTGTTTGCCAAGTTAAAGGGAAATCCACATGGCACAAGAGCTGGTGGTATTAACAGTGTTGTTAAAAACCGAATGGTTGGAAATTTCTTTCACAGACCAAATAGGTTGGATTATTTTGTCTTTTTTCTAAACAATGGCTCTAACCTCTGTGATAAAACCCATTTTATCTCCTAAATTGAAATATGTTTGGAAAAACTAGCATTTTGAAAATCCAGAATATTTTTATTTCAGCACACAGTGTAGGATGGGAGTGTCTGAGGCATGTCACATGCAACATTTCCCAAGCACTTCGTTTCATGTGGAACTCATTTTTCAATGGTTAATAGTTCAGAAGCCATTCTGGCACAGGATGTGGCTTCACTGCAGTCGCTATAGTTGTGTTGTGCCTAGAACTGTATTACCAAAACCATCATATACACTGTGTATTTTACAGCTCTGGGTCAAATTATGAAGACCTGAGATAAGAAATATATTAAGTAGTTCATAGGTGTCAAGACAAGAGCCTGCATCATGGTGCAGGTGGCAAGCACTGGCAGCTGATCCAGCTCCTCAATCAGGCTTTGTAACCTCTGCTGAACTCTGTACTCTGATAATAGTATTTCTTCCAGTAACCCTGCAGAGAGCTGGTGAGAAAGCACTGACCCCTCTGTGAACCTCGCGGGCTCCATTTGCCAAGGCCTGAATTGCCACTCAGATGCCAGTGAGGTCAAACAACTGGGGGAAGATGTGCAAAGCATCCTCTGGAAAATGCACCAACTTCATCTCCTTTCTCCTCTCTGGCCCTGGCTTGTGGAGATGCTGATGATCAGGGCAGGGTTTCTGTGTGAATGTTGGAAATGAAGTCGGGCCCACCTAAATCTGTGCTCTTGCTTGATGTGCTCATGTTAAAATCAATAGCAAAGGATTTCCATTCTCTTCTGTGCCTCGTTCTTTGTGCAAACACCTGGCTGGTCCGAGCTACATGCTGCTTTTTGCAGCCCCTCTTTCCCTGCTGGCCTACTTCTCTCTAAAATCATTTAAGCCAGACAGCTTCTTGATGTGTTACCTCATGCATGCAGAAAAGCACATGCACTCTCAGTAAAAATTCTTCACATTAGTCTTCTGTTCTCTCCTTCCCTACTTTTTGTGCTGTAAAGAGATTAAGTGTCTGAGCACAGACTGTTACAAGGTTATGTTAATTAGAATAGCCAGTAGCCTGAAGTAATGCTAAAGAGGTGGGGTTTTGTGGGTTAGTGTACGAATTTATAGCAGGCTAGAAAGGCTATGCAACAAGGGCCCAGTCCTTCGTTGCATTTTTGTTGCATTTGCTTGTTAGGTTTTTGTGTGCATAAGGCATGCTGTCATCTTGAGCAGGTCACATTTCACGCAGATAAACATTTTGATCGTGTGTACAATTAATGTACTATGTCTCTTAAAGTACAAGTTCACAAGTCAGTTACCAAAACCTCTTGATTTAAAACACACTGTAAGCAGGACAGTGGGCTGAAAATGTGATTTTACAATCCTGGGGAAGAAGCCTGTTCTTGGGAGTGGATTGTAATTAAGGCAAATGGTTGTATTCCTTATTGCTCTTTGCTCTGTAGATGATGCATATTGTAACCTGTGTCTGTCTCTTGCTTTTGTGCTGCAAAGGGAGTGCCTTCTCAGGTTGTTTTGTATGACCACAGGTTAGACCTTGGTGTTCTTTTTAGTCAGTATCCCTGGTCCAGTATGTCAGTGTTCCATGTTATGAACATCATTGTTTTAAATGAGGAGTTTGCAAAAAAGTGAAACATACTGAAATGCCTTTGCCTTTTCTTTTTCAGGATAAAGTTTTGAACAGTGCCTCCCCAAGAAGTGTGATGAGAAATGGCTTTAGGAAACAATACCCAGAGAAGTTACTCCATCATACCCTGCTTCATCTTTGTTGAGGTGAGCACAGTATTCAGTTGCCAAGCCTACATAGAAGGCAGCTCTGCCCTGCAGGAATCAAGTAATTTGCTGGCCATTTTGTTTGTAAGAAAGAATGCTATTTCACTTGATAACGTGAATATCCATCTTCATACTCAGTGCCATCAAGTTCCCCTGAAAACAGTCCTGCATGAGTTAGGTCTTAGGTACGTGCATGCAAGAAGAAGTAGATGCTGTCTTTTCAAGACTTGCCTGTACCCGACTCACCAGCTAGTCTTGTGGTATTTGGTAGAAAGTGGACAGTCACTGCTGATGTAGGTCAGCAAGTGATTGCTGATCTTCCCATTTTTCCTCATTTCCACCTGGGAATGAGTTGTCTCAAATTTATTGCTTAAGCAAGCAGCTCTGAAGATTTTTAGTCCTCTAAATGTATGAATGATGAGCCTGGTTGGCAGCCTATGACAGAGATGTAAATTGTCCTTCCTGTAGACAAGACTGACATGAATATAAGAATAATTCTTTCTACAGGAGGAAGAGAAAAATATTTTTTTCCCCGTAAGTGTACTTTCCTTGTCCTTTCATATATTTGTCTTGCAGATTAAAACACAATTTTAAATTAAAAATCAGTCAAAAGCAGAGAGGTAGTGTCTGAAAAGATGTTCTCTCTGCTACATTTGATGAAAACATGTATTTCCTCCCCTCTTTGTCCACAGTACAGATTTTTAATGTAGTATTACTGGAACTACAAATTCACAGACTTACAATGTCAAGCATTGTAGCATTAAACAACAGGAAATCTAATTTCCTGCTGGGAATGCAGAGATGATTGATAGTAGCCATTCCGCCTGAAAAGTCCCTGTAAATCTTAAGGCACCCTGAAGGTGTTTTTCTTTTCTACTGCTGTACTTCTGAGACTAAACAAAATATTTTTAGATGAGCTACCCCAGACACCAAGCCCAGTGCTGGATTGCCTGGCTTAGGATGGGCCCTATTTTTGTGGTTTTGAAGCAACCATGAGAAGTGATCGCCTGTGTGACACCTTGCTGCAATTGCTAAAGATGCATGCAGGCCAGCTAAAAATAATGTTCCTGCTTTCTTGGTAATATTTTTCCATGCAAAAATAATCTAGCAGCAGACATGTTAGGTGATCACGAGTAGGAAAAGAGATTGTCAGTAAATATTATCATAGGCCTCTCCCTCAGAATGTGTTGCCTCCCCCACTGTATTCTGTGGAATGTAGTCCTGTGATTAAAAGTTTTGAGATATTTGCTCTTAAGAAAAAAATGCTGAGCCTTGATCATCATGTCAGATGCCCTGCCAGTAGATATTTGCTAACTGCCCAGTGTGCAGCATGTGTTCAAAGAAGTTGTGATGGCAGTGGTGGAAATGAGGTGTCACAAACAGTTTGGACATTTTAAATAGCGTTATGCTTCAGTCTGTACAAATGTGACACTTAAAATTTCAACAGTTCCTCACATTTCCTTTTTTTTTCCATTTCACTTTCCTCACACTGAACTAACTTGTAGCAGTTAGTTATTATGAAACTTGACCTGAAGATGAATGGCTTATTATAAAAGCTTAAACCCTGTGCCTGACTCTATAAATCCATTTTTATGTTCAAAATATGAACTTTTTAATAATACAGAGATAGCATCTGATGTCTAATCTGTAATGGCAGAAATGTTAAGTCAACATTTTCAGTCAATAATTAGGAACACAATGCCACATTATGAGTAGATTTAAAGGCTAAATAGGGAATCGTTAAACTAATTTTTAGCCACTTATCAAATCTGAGTCCCTCTCCCAAATAATGCCAGGCAGCTTTCTACATGATTCTTTATTGTATTATAAGAGGTATCATTGCAGTCTGGCATTTGTCACCAAATGAAGATTTGGTATTACATTTTGTTAAAAACATAAGCAATTAATTAGGACATACACGAGACTACTATTCTACTTTTCCCTGCCCCTCTTTGCAGCATTGCTTGCAGCCATCATCAGTGAAAGGAGCCTTCAGGAGGCTCTCACCCAGCCTTGGTTTACATTTAAGAAGTTGCAGCAAGATGAAACCAATTTTGTTCCTCTTTCAGCTGACATGTGCCAATGCTTTGGGCAGTGTACGGACCTATGAGTACCTGGTGCACGAGGACTGATGTTGTTAGCTGCTGGCAGCTGTTAAAAAGAAGTGCAAAGAGCAGGATGTCCCTACTCCAGCAGCTTCCAGAGCCCTTTGAAGTCAGTGATGGACACTGAGCATGCAGCAAAGGCTATAGAGCTCCTAGCTGTTGGTATGCCCTGGATCCATTCCAGCAAATGCAAATAGTGCACACCAGCCTGTTTGAGGATTTGTTGATGGTGTTATGGATTGTGGGCAAGCATGAGAGAAAGTAGGAGAAGCAGCATCTGGGATGACAGGAAAAAATTTCTCACATAGTCTTCCTTTTTCACATACTTTTGACTTACGATGTCATTTGTTGCCAAAACTTTGTGGAGCATCTCCTCCTTCCTTCACCTGCTGGGACACGTGTAGGAGAGTGCTGTCAGAAGCATCTTTAATGATGCCTCTGCATAGCTGTATCATTATTTTGCAACCCCACTTTGCAAGGTTTGATCCAAGGAGTGCTATGTTACATCCTTCCACATAACATCCACATGTGTATTGGTTGAAGGTGGGGAAAGGTAAAGTCACAAATGGTGGAGTTCTGCTTTGTACACAGTGGTCCAGTTTTCTGCAGTCGAGGATTAAATAGTCAGAACAACTAAGCTCCCACAGATCTAGGCAACATCAGGTGTAGAAGTGGAAGAAGTGCAGTGCTTAGTGAATCCCAGTTCTCTTCCTAGGGGACTGGTGAATTACCTTGATCTAGCAGTGTTTTCCATGCACAATGGTCTTTGTCTTTCTTCATCTCATTTTGGGTGCTAGCTTTGCAGGACAAAACTCATGCTAGGGGGCTTGTAGGAGAGCTGAATACAGTCTGGCTTTGAATTTGGTGGGTCAAAGTGATTATACTTGCTTTAGCAATATATTTGATGCTTATCATTAGTGACAGGAAGTGTAATGTGATGTGATAATTGCATTTTCTAATAGATGTTGAAAGGATAGTTGCATACTATGAGTAAACAGCATCCCCACAACTATATGTGACTTCAGGGGTAAGGCGTGCAAACAACTTTTGAGCCATTGTGTCTGTTTGAATGGTGGTTTTTAAAGAAGCAATAAGCAAGCAACACTTCCTCTTTTTCCTGCAAAGAAAACCATCTCATCTCTTCTGAGGTAACAGCAGTTATGACTATAATGGCTCTCTAGATAATAAAAAGAGAAATTTATTCTGGAATTTCTGCTGATGTGATGCTTTCTACTTCCTTTTTCCCCCTCCTGCTTCTCACCCTGCAAAGCCCTGGTTTGAGGGCTTGTGTTGTTTCAGGGTATGAGTTATCTGAGGATTTATTTTTATGTACAGTTACTTCTAACAGAGTCACATGCATCTGAGGTGTATCTTTGCACATGAAAACACTACAATTTTCTGGCACCAAATTTAATTAAATTGCCTTAAACTGATCAAACAGTTACTGAATACCAAGTGACTTTAATATGGCTGATGTATGTGCCACGTTGTGCTTTATTGTGGATTATTGTAATCCTGACATTGACAAGGTAGTAAGGGCAGACTCCAATAACCAACACTGCTAAAACTTAAAACATTGGGCATCTTTCAAATTCTGTAATCTGAAGAGTCTACTTTTTCACGCTAAATCCATTATTCTGCCCTCAGGAAGGCTTTTGTGGGCAGAGTGGAAACTTTCTTCTTGACAACTCAATATACAGCACATTGCAAAGAACTGAAGATTTTATAAGAAAAATTTCTTCACCGCTTTTCCCCCATGAATGAAATGAAAAGTGCTGCAAAATATAAAGCTCTAGTCTTACATGTGTTTTGATGAAAATTTTGATTTGAACTGTAGGTATGTTGCAGCCTCACAGGGTCTCTGTTTCTACAATCAGTGGGGTAGATTTTCCTTTACTTTTTGCTATTTTAGTTTTGGACAGATTGAATCATCTTCAATATCAGTTCAAACACAATTAAAAAAGAAGTTTCAATTTGCAGAAGCACAGAAGAAAAGCATTCTTTTTTGCTTGCCTCCATTTTCCTGCCAGTATTTCATGTAGTCAAGCCAACAGCTGAAGTGCTGCTTAGCAGGAGAATTTCTGCAATACTGAAATCATTTGTGTAAGTGAGACAAGTGCCTCTTGAGCTCCTGTTGTCATCAGCATCACGGTAGGGTTTAGGGAGCTCTGAAAAATAAGTAAATTTAGAAGTCATGACACATTTTTTTAATTGTAATTTTTTTTTTAGGTGTTCTGAAAACTCAGAAGATTTTGTACTTTTGGGTGCACTGGTTAGTGCCCTTTAATTTGGGGTAGTTTGAGGAATGTGAAATGTCTTTTTCTATGTGCTGTGGTCCTCAAAGCAACATTTGTAAGAGTCATTTAATGTATTGGGTGTGACTTTCTGATTTGTATTTCTTTAAAAAAAGTCACTTCTCTCATAAGAAACACTTGCTAATTGTATTAGAGCTTTAGTGATATGATTACAATTGCATAAAGGACATATGAGCATAGGATCGTGGGTTTGGATATTCAAAGTACAGGTTTTAATTTTGTCAAGGTGGTGTCCTGTTGTCCTAGCAAATGCCAAAAAAATTCAGGCAGATATTAATATAAATGTAAACTAAAAAAGCATCCCAAGTTGAACTAAGTTCCAGATATTTGAAATGATCAGTGATTCTGTTCTGTAACAGTATCCAGTATCCACCATGTGGGGCTTTCTGATTTTGTTTCCTGCTGGGGCAGAACAGAAGGATTTTCCAGTGGTTTGTGTGTGCCAGCTCAATCCTTCCCCTTGCTATTGGTGTCTTGCACAAAGCTATTTAAAGCTCTGTGCCTTGTTTCTCCATCTGTGCCATGCAAGCAGTAGTGCTGTGCTGCTCCGCTGGGATGCTGTGAGGACAAAATGCCCTGA